TCTTGCCTGTAAACTTAGTGAATCTTAATTATGACCGCTATTTTTGCTTACACCAGCGAATTTAGTTTCCCTTAAATGAGAGAGATTAATTGCTTTCATTTAGTCTGACATTTTATTTTTTTTCAAATTCTGCAGCTTGATGGAACCACTACTGAGGAGAAAACTGACACAGATAAAAATATGGCCACGATGTTTGATATCCTAAGGAAGAATAGGATAGTACATCTCGAAAATTTAATATCAAACAGGGACTCCTTTGCACAGACCGTGGAAAATTTATTTGCTCTATCCTTTCTAGTAAAAGATGGACGGGCTGAGATAAAAGTTGATGAAAAAGGCAGTCATCTAGTTAGTAAGATTCTTTGTGCAGAATTCATTTAGAGTCTTCTTTTCTTTCTGGCATCTGTTTCCTTTTTGACTTTTAGCGATTATTTATTTCAGCTCCAAAGAATGCTCCTGGCGCCAATTCAGTTCAAGCTGGAGACGTTTCTTACAGCCATTTTATATTCAGATTTGACTTTAGAGACTGGAAGGTACATTAGAAATATTAGATGAACTAGTTATTTATTCTGTTACTCTGGAATGCCGGGAATTTTGATTAAGTAATCTCTTTGTTTTGAGGTCATCCATCCAATTGTGTTTCCATACTGCTGTAAAATATTGTTGTGTATCTGCATTTGAAAAATGATCTTTTGATATTTCTTTTTTACTTATGGATTGAATATAATAGGAACTTGTGCGTTATAATTTTTATTCGACTATCTTGTAAATTCTTGTTACTGTTATATCAGTTGATGCTGTCCTCTGTTGCTGTTGGAGAGGAATTAATGCCAAACAGGAAAGCGATGAACACATCAAGAAGCACTCAAGCATCATTGCCTACTACCCCGATAAGAAAATTGTGCAGGAACAGAGGTTTGGTTATGCAGGAGCACATAGTAATTGAAGACTTCCCTCAAACTGGAGATTTAACTGAGGTGGCGGCAACCCGTAAGGGAAAGAGAAAACTTCTGTGAAAAGTTTTCATATATCTTTTATGAAATGCTTGTCGTACTCTACTTTTGCACATTTTGTGAAAAGTTTCACTTGGCAAATAGGTCTTTAGTTGACGAATACCTTAAAACCGAGAGCTGCCATGTTATTAATGCATATAAGTTAGTATTATTTTTCTCTTGGTTTGAGTTTTATTCGTTCTTTCTGAGACTAAATGGACATGTTAACTTTCTTTGTCCTTTAGCGACCAAATGGGCATGTATGTATGTTTAACTTTATTAGTTCTTTTAGCAAGCCGTCCATAATTCCATATAACTTATGTAGGAAGGCAAGGTTAGTGTCTTTACAGTTTTAGAGCATTTCTAAAATATAATAAAGAGCATCTAATACATAATAGAGAGCATTTTTAAATTTATGAAGTAAATTTTTTTATATATATATTTTTTTTATAAATTCTAATAAATTCTTTATTTTGTCTTTTTCAATGAACATTTAATAATTTCTCTATTTATTTTATTTAAGTATAATTTTTTATATATTAATGATCAATCAATTCAAAATTCAAATGTAATTTGAAAATTTTAAATTGTAGAGTATTGGAATTTGTAATGTATTAATTACAATTATTGTACATTAAGAATAGAAAGTGAGTTTGGTTATCTAAATTTGAAGAGTCAAACACTATTTCTATTTTAAAAAGTTAAAAAAGACTCTTTTGGAATTTATTTTTAAGTATTGACTTTTTAAAATAGAAAGTATTTTATGTTTAAAGAATTTTTTGGAGATGCTTTTACTGCAACTTGAGAGGATAGTGGCGAGAATCTCTTATAGTTATTTTTAAATTTTAAATTTTGTAGGACCTTTAGTTTTTGCATTTTTGAGGTTTTACACAGGTGAAAAATTATTGTAATGAATTGGACGTTCGTGTTTAATTACTATTTGTTTTGCGAAAGTATTTGTATATCTTATTCTTGATGGATTTTTTCTATTTGCTGTGCTCTCCATGATTCGAGTTTAAGCCCTCGTTTGGCCTCCATTTTGTAAAAATGAAAATGGTTAAAATATTATTTTTTTGAAAAATAAATGGTTGAAAAAGAAAGAAAAGTTTTTGATTTACGTGTAATATCATTTTATAAACGATTGTGTGGTTGAAAATAGGAAAGAAAAAAAATGAAATGTTGTAGAATGAAAATTAATGGAGGTCAAACGAGGGACATCTACTTTATATAAAAAATTTAAGTTCAATTATGGTATTAATTGAGCAAGGCAATTATACTCAAAAAATTAACAATTGAAATTGGAGATTCAAATACAATATATGCTATTGACCAAAATTTCATACTTTTGATATGAGACTAAAGTCACGAAAACTATGGTAAGCTAACATATTCCGCAAATTCGAATTCATATTCTATAGAAGTGATAGACCAAATTTCATACTTTTAATAGGAAATTCAAAGCATCATATCTAGTAATGAAAACTGCGAATTTGGCGCTCATGTCAGATTGGCGAATTTGGATTATTATTCTCAGATGAATATTGCTATAACAGTATAGCCATCGGTACTGCTCGGTAAAAATTGAGAGCCATGATGTCATATTTCAGAAAGCTAGTTGTTGAATCCATAACTATCGAGAGCCATGGTGTCCAGAAATGACGGTGCTGGGGGTCGCAAATGGACGTGAACCCCACACCCTTGTGAGAAGGCAAAATCCATCCAGAAAACATGACAATTGTTGATTTCTATAGAAGTATATTTCGTACAATCATGCCTATGTTGTGAAGCAGGATATCTATTTTTCTCTAACAATAAATCATCCCTGCTAAAGAAAGGATACATCAGCTGCCAAGAAAAAAAAAAAACCAGATGTTAAATGCAAACCACCTTATTTTATAGATGTTGGACGAGAAAACATCAACTGTACAGAAGTAACATGTCCACTGCAGACACCAGACCAGACTGTGGAAACCAAAATATAAACCACACGCCTAATTTTATTTATTTCTTATAGCCCCTATTCCCATACATTGATATTAAATCGTTACACCCTAATATGTATCTGTATCCCGATGTTGATAACCAGCCCCGATACCTCTGGGAGCATCAGGGTCTTGAACTCCAACCCTTCCGCCCCCTCCAGTGTTTGTCCCAGGAGGGTATTGGGACCCAACCACACCCTCAGTAGTAGTTCCAGATGGGTAATCTGTCCTAGCAGTATCTGTATAGCCGGTGCCGGTGGTGGCGGGCCCAGTTGTGTAGCCGGTGGTGCCCCCAGTGGTGTACCCATGACCGGTTGTTCTGCCTGCTTTAGCTGCCTGCCTCATTTCATGCTTCTGGAGCTCCGCTTCATTGATTTTGGCCTCTTTCTTCTCCGTGGCTCTCTCCTTTTGCAAAGGGTCACGAGTGGTCATCTTCTCAGCCTGTTGCATGGAAAGCAAGTAAATTTGAAACATGTTCATGAATAAAAGTAACTCAAAAGTTATGTTTAATCTCAACCACAAACCTTTTCTTGCGCGGTGGCTTTTGTCTTCTCCAATCCAGACTTTGCTGAAGCTGCAACATTGGCCGCTGTTTCCTTAGCAGACTGCATTTTTCAATAGTTTCAAGTGTTTTCTTCTCTTTTTTCTTGTTCTTTCTTTACTAGGAAATTTTCTGTGTATAAATGGAAGTCGAAAGGAGGGGGGAGAATGGTGAGTCATCCAGGAAATTTGATATGGTGCTGACACGTTACCAACAGGTGTCAATTACCAATCCAACGGCTGAGTTTTCTTTTTTAATCAGATAACTATTACTTTCATGATACTGAGAGATAATAGAATAGAATAAGATAGCTACTCGAATGACTAAATCCTATAGCCAATTGGACGAGTTATATTAGAACTACGACTTCCAAGTTAGCCCATACGGTGACATTATCGTCCTACGACTTTTAATAAGCCTCGATCGATCATTTCTATACGTGGTCGATATTTGATAAGCAGAAATTTTTAGAAACGAGTTAGCCCTTGCCCAATTAGTTATTTGACGCATATTGAAACAGAATAAATTATTTGACTTACGGTCAATGGAAGGTGAGAAGAGAATGAACCCATCATACAAGTATTTTCCATATCGCTTGACAGCAATTGACGAGATGCAGTGATTTGTTGGAAAAAAAAAAAAAAAAAAAAAAAGGGAAATGAACCGATACGGAAGAGAAGCCGAAATTAATACAGAGGCATGATTTGATGAAAGAAAAAAAAATAGGGCTCAAAGGGGATGAAGATGAGAGGGGTCGTTCGTATGTTGGACTTGCAAAAAAATGAAATTGATGGGGAAAAAAGAGGGGGAAGTGAAAATTAGATTGAAAACAAAAAAGAAAGTAAAAATTTGGAAAAATTGAGCTGGAAAATGCAATAATTCGATTTTTTGTTCTTAAAATAAAATCTATTAATGTCTTATTAATTAATTAAATAATTTTGTATTTTTATAAAATACTTATTAATATTTTATATAATTTTGTTATTAAGATTTATGATAAAAAATTCGTCGACGTAAGTTCTACTTATCAAAAACTTTCAACGACTAAAAATAATCGATCGTCGAATGTCATCATCAATGACTAAGAATGTCGAATTTTCCTTTAGTTACAACGACGACATAAAATTAGTTGTTATTTTACTATACTAACGACCAAAAATTATGGTCGTTAAATATTTATTACATTATTTGTATTTCTAACAACTAATTTTGTAGTTGTCGAATATGAACAAATATGAGGAAATTAGGCCCTGTACGCCCTTTTTTAAAATATTTTGATTAATACCTTTTAAATTATTAAAATATTCTAAAGAAGTANTACTTAAACCACACGACCATGACTGATATTGGACTTAAGCAAGTAAATTGTACTTAAGCTTAATAACTGTGACCTGAATAGATCCCAAGATTGGACCATCTTTCAACTGAACTGAGAACATTGCTAGGTCTGATTGAAAAGGTAGTTGCATGAAGCTCGTAGTGGTTGAGCTTTGTGAATCAATGGATAAAGAAGTTCGATCCTCGTTGAGACTTCTCCCCTTGGCTTCCAGCCTCGCCAAAGAGAAGCAAGTTGTGTGAGTCTTGGAGTTCAAGCGAGGTAGCCTAGAGATGGGACGCAGACCTCTCCTCCGAGGTGATGACGCTTTCCAACATGATGGATGGTTCGTCCATGTTGAGGCTTCTCCCAGTGGCGTTCAGTCTCTCCAAAGGGAAGCAAATGGCGTGCGCCTCGGAGTTCAAGCGAGGTGGCCCAGAGATGGGACACTGACCTCTCCTTCGAGGTGACGACGCTTCCCAACATGGTGGATGGTTCATCTATGTTGAGACTTCTCCCAGTGGCGTTCAGTCTCACCAAAGGAAGGCAAGTGGCGTGCGCTCGGAGTTCAAGCAAGGTTGCCCAGAGATGGGACGCTGACCTCTCCTCTGAGGTGACGACGCTTCCCAACATGGTGGATAGTTCATCTATGTTGAGGCAAGTGACGTGCGCCTCGGAGTTTAAGTGAGATGGCCCAGATATGGGATGCCGATCTCTCCTCTGAGGTGATGACACTTCCTAACATGGTAGATGGTTCATCCATGTTGAGGCTTCTCCCAATGGCATTCAGCCTCGCCAAAGGGAGAAAAGTGGCGTGCACCTCGGAGTTCAAGCGAGGTGGCCCAGAGATGGGACGCTGACCTCTCCTCCGAGGTGACGACGCTTCCCAACATGGTGGATAGTTCATCCATGTTGAGACTTCTCTCCCTGGCATTTAGCCTCATCAAAGGGAGGCAAGTGGTGTGCGCCTTGGAGTTCAGGCAAGGTAGCCCAGAGATGGGACGATGACCTCTCCTCTGAGGTGACGACGCTTCCCAACATGGTAGATAATTCATCCATGTTGAGGCTTCTCCCCCTGACGTTCAGCCTCGTCAAAGGGAGGCAAATGGCGTGCACCTTGGAGTTCAGGCGAGGTAGCCCAGAGATGGGACGCTGACCTTTCCTCCGACGTGACGACGTAGTGCGACACTTGAATTCAATCATGGACAATTTTATTAAATCATGAAAATGGTACATGAGCTAGGAAAGATCGTCCAGCGAGGTAGTACATTCATTGATAATAGATTCGAAGGTGCTCAATGTTCCATGGACGGGGTTATGCCTTGCCGTCCATGTCTTCAATCCAGTATGTCCCAAGTCGGATCTCCTCCTTGATTCTATATGGGCCTTCCCACTTCGGACCTGAGCTACCGGTGCCTGGTTCCTTGGAGGAGAGGAAGACTCTCCTAAGGACCAGGTCATTGATTCGAAATGACCTCTTCTTCACCTTTGAGTTGAAGTACTTCGTCATCTTTCTTTGATATGTGGCAAGCTTCAGCTGGACGTTATCGCTTCTTTCCTCAATGAAGTCGAGTGATTTAGATCACAAACATGACTCAATTACGAGCAAAATGTTTAAATTGTGATTTAACCTCGTTGAATTCATGCAATGTA